CCACCCCCCCCCCACCACTACCCCCACCCCCCCCCCCCCCCCAAAAAAAAAAAACGGGTAGAAGAAGAACACAAAGGAACAAGAGGTCCCATTTTTGTCTTTTCTTAGGGTTAGAAGTTGAGGAGCTAACCTGAATTGGAAGACGGAGAAGAATTGGAGGGCTTGATTCTTTTGTTTCAAAAAAAAAGTAAAGATAATTCCACCAAGTGAGAGAGCTAAAGCAACCCCAAATTTCAAGATTACAGGCCTTATGTCCCTCTTGTCTCTCATCATCCTTTGCTAGCACTAACTGCAAAAGTCAATCATCTCTTCACTCTACCGGAAATATCACAGGTCTCCCTCTTCTTCATCATCCATCTAAAAACCCCAAAATCAGAACGTAAATTAATATAAAGAGTGAGTAGTAGAAGTAGCAAGATCCACTGTTAAAGAAGAGAGACGAATAAAACGTGAACTCCAACGGGAAATGAGAAAGAATCAAGTTTGAAAACGTAAATTTGATGTGAATTTGTTCTCTTACAGTTTATGTTTGTCTGACTCAAGCACACGCAACTGCAGATGGACAACTTTCAATTACTAATATTCTATTTTGCTGTTTTTTTATTTTATTAGTAGAAGCATGTGTAGGGCTATTGTAATATATGCGAATATATACAAAAAATAAATTGTCTTATGTCAGGTGGATTGCAAACTGCACTATGCCCCTCTGTTCTTTTCTGCACTTTATCATTTTATAGTTATTCTAAAAATAATGATATTTTTTTATATTTAAGAAAATAATTTAAATATTTTATTTTAATAATAAATTTTATAGTCACATCAATATAATAATAATACCAAAAGTTTCTTTATTTTTTTAAAAAAAAATATACCAGTCAAATTGATTTACATAAAAAAGACGGAAGAAGTAAAATATTTCCATCGCATATTTAGCTGTAACTCATTATGATTGGAGTCCAGGAGTAGATAACAGAGATTATTAGATGCTTTGATTCCAATGTAGAATTAGATTTTTTAAAATCTTTTAAGCCTAATTTGTGAATTAAGAGGAAAATTTGAATAATGGAAAGGTCTACTCTTGGATTTGAAATATTCAAGTTATTTTAAGTACCCCGTTTGGCCATTAGTTTTGCCAAAATAAATTTGAGATTTATTTTCAAAATTCATATTTGGCCATAAATTTTGCCCATATTTTGGCCAAATCCCAAATCCCAAATTTCAAATCCCAAAATCAGCTATTGGGCCAAAATCCCAAAACTTGAGAATTATATACATGTTTTTCCAAAATAAAGTTGGAAAATATGTTTTGAAAACGTATGTCCAAACACATTTTCATCTTCAAATCAAACTTCATCCAAATCAGATTTTTCAAAATAAATTTGGGATCTATGGCCAAACGCTAACTTTAAGTCACGTGGATCACGAATTCCACTTATGGGAGAGAGAAAAAAGAATTAAGGATGGAATCAGATACTTTGATTCCGATTATGGCTTAAGGATAACATGATTGCCCTTTGCCTATTGACTTGCCTTCTACTTGCTATGAAGGGGTATTTACCTTCTTTTTCTCCATGAAAAATATATATAATAATATTATTAACGTTAACTTAACCGACGGTCAACTAACCATAAAAATTACAAAACTCAATTAGAATTTATAAAATGAGCATTAATTTTTCAAAGGATCTATAGACCTAGAGAGATTACGAAGTATATGACATGGTAGCTAGTACAAAATACAAATACATTGCTTACTAGAGAAAGAAATAGAACTTGCACCGCCTAATGAAGGATTAAATATAGCTGTTCTGGGAGAATTATAGAATTTTTACACGTAATAAAATTTAGAATTTTATAGAATGAACTGCTTCAACAGAATATTTTTTTCCAACATATTGTAATTGAGAAATATGAGCGTGAAGAACAGAAGAAGCAAATAAAAGGTATTTTTCATACCATAAAGATGATGCTTACTTCTTGTAACTTGTAAAGCAAATTCTACTGATTGGATGTTTACACAAATAACCGGTTGGATTCACGGTTTATCTTTTTCAGTTAGTATAAATAGATTATACATAAATTTATATATGATTGTAATATATTATATATGAATTATACATATATTATATATACTATTTTTACTTTAAGTGATTGGATAAGTGGCTATTTAGGTTAATTCTTCAAATATAATCAATAGAGATGTAATCTGAAGCCCACTTGAGAAGGGCTGTAAGACTGTTGGGCAGAGGGAATTATGTAAAAATAGCACGGGCTAGCCAGTTTTCAGATTGGTAATTGAAAAATATCCAGCGTTTGCAAAGTAATTGAAAAATAGCCATTATTTTAGCAATACGGAAAGTTCCAGCATAATATAGTGGAGATCGGTGCATCTGTGGTATGAACTTTAGGTCGTTTGGTAGCTGGTTAGAGAAAGGTTATTCATGTATAAGGGGTAACATAACTTATACCATGTTTGGTAGACATTAGTTATGTTGTATAAAATTCTGCATAACTAATATCATGTTTGGTTGATAATTTTCAATTATGCATAAATAATACATGTATAAGTTATGACTCAATATGTGTATTATTTTATGCAGGGTAGTAGATGGAATACCTAATACCATGTATTAGTAATACATGGATAAAATATTGAAATGACAAATTTACCCCTATCACTTTACACATAAGGCTTCCTTAGATATATCGATCTGTACACAAAAGAACGATTTTTTTTTATTGAGGATAGGAGAAACAGATCAAAGTAATCTGGAGTATTAAGTTGTATTGGTAATCTGGAGTTTTATTGAGGATTTTTTTTTTGTTGAATATATCTTTTATTAATTTGCTTAAATAAATGGAAAGAGAGAAAAAACAATGCAAAAGAAGGCCAGGGGTATAGTTGTAAACAAGCATTTTACTTTAAATTTTATATAATGTATATCAATTTCTAATACAACAAACCAAACATTCAAAAAAATAATCTCTGCATAACTAATTCATGCATAACTAATACCTGCATAACTAATCCCTGCATTACTAATACCTGCATAACTTATACCTGCATAACTCTAACCGGCAACCAAACGACCCCTTTCAGCATATTATGCTGGAACTCCAGCACACGAAAAGTTCCAGCATAATATACCAGAGATTGGAGCACACGTGTATGAACTTCCAGCATATTATGCTGGAACTCCAGTATATTATGCTGGAAGTTCACATGTAAAAAATTCGAACTCCAGTATATTCTGCTGAAATATTTTTCGAATTTTGATTAGTATTTTCGTTCAGATTTATCTTTACATGAAAAGTGGCTAAATTTCGATTATTTTTTAAACTGTGGCTATTATAAATCTGGCTATTTTTGAATTTCACCCGGAATTTATCGTAAGAATATTTAAGGCCCAACACGAGAACATCAATGAGGAATTTTCAGAAACCACTCTTGTTTAATGGCTATTAACTTCCTATAGCTATCATATACATAATTACTTCCCATAGCTACTATTTAGTTGTTATGCGACTGTATTCGTTGTATTCACGCTACTATATTCATGAATATAGTAGCGAAATTAGCCTAAAAAATAGGGGAGTCCAGCTATCTAATAACGGAAAGAGGATCAATTAGCGTGTATCATTCCTAATTTAACTCAACAAAATCAATTCTACAAATTTTCGTTGCTATTGTGTTGCATTCCATATATTCATGTGACTGTATTTATAAATGCAGTGATGTAATCTGCCTAAAAATTAGGGATTACAATTGTTTAATTCTGTATTCCATGTATTCGCGCGACTGTATATATAAATACAGTGAGGTAATCCGCCTAAAAATAAGGATTACAACTGTTTAATTCTACTTTCCATATATTCACGCGAATGTCTTTATAAATACAGTGAGGTAATCTGCTTAAAAAAATAGTGACTACGGGTGTTTAATAACGGAAAGCGCAATATTGAATTATATTCAATTTCACTATATTGAATTCAATTGTATTCAAACAACAAAAAAACAAGAAATAAGGTGTATATCATTCTATTCAATTCGACTGTATACATTGTATTCAATTCACAAATATTCATTATTCACTATTATACATTGTATTCAATTCACCGTATTCACTTCGATTGTATTCAAACAACAAACAATCACAAAAATAATGATATTCGGATGTATTCAAAAAATACAGACCTTCGGAATACATAAATACAGGCGAAAAAATAATTTATTTATACAAGAATATAATGTATTTGAGTGTATTTGCATAGAATATAATGTATTTGTATCATTGTATGTGACTCAGAAGAGAAGAAAGTTCGCCGGAGATGGCGTTTTCCAGCCAAGCAAAATAACTGTATACAGCGACTCTGATCTCCAAAAGCTCAATACTGTATACTGTAACAACCCGACTGGTCGTTTTGAGTATCTGCACTCCGCTCGGTGTTTTGAGGGCTCGAGTATCTCCGTATGATGTATTTTGACTTATGTAATCGTCGGTTTTGGTTTTCAGGTTATTCGGACTTATTTGAAAAAATGATTCTCAACTAGGGAGCTTTAAATTTGAAAGAGTTGACCGAGTTTGACTTTTTAATATTTGACCTTAGATTGGAATTTTGATGGTTCCGTTAGCACCGTTGGGTAATTTTGGACTTAGGAGCGTGTCCAGATTGTGATTTAGAGGTCCAAAGTTGAATTTGGCTCGAAATGGCGAAAGTTGGATTTTTTGGAAAGTTTGACCGAGAGTGGACCTTTTGATATTAGGGTCGGATTTCAATTCCGGAAGTTGGAGCCGGCCCGTAATGTCAAATGTGACTTGTGTGCAAAATTTGAGGTCAATCGGACATGATTTGATGGGTTTCGACATCGGTTGTGGAAGTTTGAAGTTTCAAGTTCATTGATTTTTGGATTGAGGTGTGATTCGTCGTTTCGATGTTGTTATGTGTGTTTTGAGGCCTTGAGTAAGTCTATGTTATGTTATAGGACTTGTTGGTATGTTTGGACGTGGTCCCGAGGGGCTCGGGTGAGCTTCAGATAGGTTTGGGTTATGCTGCGCTCGCTTTTTTTTTTAATGTTTCGACGTTGTTTCTTCAAGCATAAATGGTACTACATTAAGCAAATGAGCTCCAATTTCTGTTTTTATTGAAGCATTAGACCCGTATCGTAATTTCAGAGCATAGCAAAAAGAATCATCGAATTTGGACATTGTATGAGGAGTTTATGGTCATTTTATTAAGAATTGGTTTGCCAGATTTTTCAGATTAATTACGAAATTGCCACTGCCTTCGTATTTAAAAATCTGCACTATTTTCAAATATTGAAAACAACATATCTCCTTCAACATAAGGTCAAATGGAGTGACTCAAGAGCCTAACTTGACTAGAATTTCACAAGAAATCCATTGGAGGCTGTTTAACCCAAAAATTGTTAAACCCTTTAGTTAAACTAATTAATAGAGAGACATACGGTAAATCTTAGCCAAACATAATTAACTATAGATCAAAACATATTGAGTACAACAATCGAAGAGGAACAAGCTGATTTAATATTTCTTAAGATGATTATCATACATCAAATGTAAATGATAAGCTTACATCTATGACGGGTTTGCACCATAATCGTAAGAGCACAGAAGGACAAGAGAG